TTTGTCGATGGAATAAGTTCACATCTGGTGTACATTGGGCTGCTAGATTTAGTATTCAGGCTATGCATAATTTCTGAATCTGCCTTGTTCGTGTCATAATTACAATAATTTCCTAGATTTGGCCCCCCATCTTTGTTTATGTACGGGAATCAGTACAGTTCTCTTACATCTAGGCATTCCGCGAAATGAAGACTCGCGTGAGTAATTGCCTCGAGTTGAGCACTCGAACAGATTTCTTCTCCACTTGACGATTTTTGACCGCTGCTATGTGTTCTCTTACACGTTCGGCGATAGTCCGCTTCGTTTGTCCGATATATGAACTACCGCAGCTGCAGTCAATTTTATAAACGCCAGGTTTTTGGTAAGGAATACTATCCTTTGGTGATCGCAATTGGTGTGACATTTTTGATAAAGGAGTAAAAATGGTGTCTATAGAAAAATTTTTCCTCAAAATGGAACCAATTTTGTCCGTTACCCCCTTAACATAGCCTAAAAATGCCCGTTGCCTGGGAACCTTAGGTAGTCTTTCCTTACACCTTCGGATAGGGTATGACCTCCTTGCGCTGTATCCATTTTTCCTTAGCACGTCCTGTACATGGGACAACTCATCTGCTAAGAAGTCTAGTATTACATAATGCGTTAGCCCTGTTAATAAGAGTTGTCTCCACAGAACGTAGGTGTTGAGGATGATGATGAGATGAAGCGTGGAGGTACTTGTCTGTGTGTGTTGGTTTCCTGTAGACAGTGTGTTTCAGGGACCCATCAGCTTGCGCCATGACTTTAACGTCCAGAAAGGGTAAGGTTTTGTCACTCTCTAACTCATAGGTGAACTTGAGATTCGGATGGATATTATTGACGTGTGTAAGGAACTGCTCAATCTCCGGTTTGTCGCCCTTCAGGATACAGAACACATCGTCTACATACCGTTTCCACATACGGATCCCATGTGACTGGTAATCTATCAATGACTCGACATGTTCCATCCATATATTGGCCAAAAGTGGCGCTACGGGGCTACCCATGGCGACACCATCAATTTGAAGGTAATGTTTGCCGCGATATAGGAGATAGCTGCCATCTAAACAGTTCCGTAATAGAACCATGTACCCTTCCGGTATATCGTTTTGTCTAAGTTTCATCCTAACAACCTCTAGACAGTCCTTAACTGGAACTTTGGTGAACAGCGACTCAACATCAAAACTCACCATCACGTCATCCGGATCCAGTTTTGTATCATCAAGGATCTGTACAAAATGACGCGAGTCCTTCACAAAGGATGTTGTAGTGCCCACAAGCGGTTGCAGTACGGAAGCAACGTGTTTTGCCAAATAATAAGTAGGTGAGTCAATCTGACTCACAATCGGTCTCAGTGGAACGCTGGCCTTATGCACTTTCGGCAATCCGTATAATTTTGGTGGTTGTACTATCTTCGGCTTGTATAGGTTCTCGAAGATGTCCTCGGTGAAAAGGTGTTTATAATCCCTGATAACAGCACGTATTCTCCTTGTAACTCTCGCAGTTGGATCGTACGATACCGGCTTATATATGTTATCATCTTGCAACAGAGCAAGTATTTTGGAGTCGTAATCGCTAGTATTTATCACGACGGTAGCGTTGCCTTTGTCGGCCTTGAGAACGAGAAGGTCCTTATTAGTTCTCAAGTTCTTAAGAGCTCTACGCTCTTCGCTCGTGACGTTGCTCTTAGGTACTTTGGATTTACGTAACACGATAGCGACATCTTGCCTCAAAGCGTCGGCATCATCAGTTGGTACCTTATTACGAACTATTGTCTCCTCTATACTGCTGATGATATGTTCATACGGTATCCTCTTCGGGGTAGTAGCAAAATTCAGTCCCTTTGCTAAAACACTGCGAGTGGCACCGTCAAGTGTAGTATCCGATAAGTTGATGACGTCATCAACTGACTCCCCAGTGATCCTTGATCTTCCACTACGAAACAGCAATTTTTCGAATTTACGTTCATGCTTTTGCGTGGATAACTCGAAAATTCTGCTTGCTTGCTGATACGTTACGCGATCACATAACTCAAAATCACTGTACGATAGCTCGGACACACACTCACTATGCACTTTATAAAGGGCACGCTGTACACTGTCCAACTCACGATGACCGTTACGTATCAGTTGTTTAAGAAGACGAACACTCGCGCTCCGTAGAATGTCACTGGAATGTGCTATGTGTACACGCGGCTTAATACGAACGCACGTAGGTATCAAACCGTTATCACGACATTTTGTTAGAAAAATTGATGAAGTCTCTAACCTCACTTTTTTCTTCCGTAACGATTCTAGATGGCGCACTTTGTTTGCAATTTCCGGCCCGTATCGGTTTGCTAATAATATTTTTAAACTCACACGATTTGTATACATTATAATTATATGCAATCGGGTCTTGTTCGTGCATTTTTTTTAAAACAATTAATTTACCTCGACGTTTCGGCTACGTTACAGCAGCCGTGGTCACGAGGAGACTGGAGAACTGGCGGGTGTCGTCTTCTGATTTTAGTTGAGGGTAATCCGGTAATAATGTTTTTAACTGATTTTCAGATGTACCCTCCACTTGATTTTATTATACGTAAAGGTGGCGACACATAGGTGATTTTTAGGCTATGTTAAAGGGGTAACGGACAAAATTGGTTCCATTTTGAGGAAATTTTTTTCTATAGACACCATTTTTACTCCTTTATCAAAAATGTCACACCAATTGCGATCACCAAAGGATAGTATTCCTTACCAAAAACTTGGCGTTTATAAAATTGACTGCAGCTGCGGTAGTTCATATATCGGACAAACGAAGCGGACTATCGCCGAACGTGTAAGAGAACACATAGCAGCGGTCAAAAATCGTCAAGTGGAGAAGTCCGCGATTGCAGAGCACTTATTATCATCTGGATCAAACCACTGGATCGAGTTACATACACCTCATGTCCTTTCCACTGAACGACATTATTATCCAAGGATTGTTCGTGAAGCGGTTGAAATAAAAAAACACAACAATTTCAACCGGGAAAGTGGATATAAACTCTCACCAACGTGGAATCCGGTTATAAAAATGTATAAGTGTCGCGATCGCAAACAACCACGAACAATATTCTCAGATACCGTAAGTGCAGTGTGTCGCCACCTTTACGTATAATAAAATCAAGTGGAGGGTACATCTGAAAATCAGTTAAAAACATTATCACCGGATTACCCTCAACTAAAATCAGAAGACGACACCCGCCAGTTCTCCAGTCTCCTCGTGGCCACGGCTGCTGTAACGTAGCCGAAACGTCGAGGTAAATTAATTGTTTTAAAAAATGCACGAACAAGACCCGATTGCATATAATTATAATAATACAATATAATTTCAAAAGGTTTTTACATATTTATTTCTTATTGTTATTCTTTGTTTTACATTCTATGTTAACTTATTCTAGTTTAAAACTTTTATTTTAGCTTATTTCTATTACATTTTGTATATAGTGTTATATCAATATAGTTGACTTATATCTAAGTTCATATTTTACTTAACTTATTTACTATGCTAATTTTATGTTTTGTTTTTGTTATTTTTCATCAAAACGTTTTTCTATGTTATTTATTAATTACATTATTTTCTCTTAACTTACTATTATTTATACTATATTATCTTTTATTACCCCTCGTTTGTGTTTTGTTTTTTCCTATATTTATACAATTTGGTTTTATTCTTATTTTGTTCTATCCTATTATGTTTCTAACCACGTTTATGTATTATTGAAATATATAATTGTGAAATAGACTTATTCTTTTATTTTTACTCTATAATGTTTTGATATGGTCGATTCCTAATTCATTTTAGGTCTCGTAGCATATTTTCTTTTCTTTGTGTGTGTTGAGAATGCACATGTTCTCATCTTCATGATGGTTTCATATGCATTATCTTTGTGTTTTGTATATTTTATATTTGTGTTGTGTTGTCTGCTTGTGTTATTTTTGTATTTTGTATTTCTATGTTCTTGCTTGTGTTGTATTTGTGTGTATGTGTCATGCTCTATTTTGATCTTTTTTGTGTTGTGCCTATGTGTAAGCCGTGATGGCTCTGGCCAAAAAATCCCATTTGGCCCTGACTGGACAATCTTTGCTGAAAGCATTGTGGGAGACATCCTGCATCTCCGTGTGCGAGCAGTTACAGCACCGAGGGGGTTTATCCTCCCTGTCCGCACAATCCGTACGAAGGTGGGATTCCCCACAGTGAATGCACCTACTCGCATCCGCTGTCGCAAAGTCCCATATGCGAAAATTCTGTGCCCGGTTCAGTAGAAAGTATGTATGGATGTGTGAGTGAATGGAGTGTATATATGTGTGTAATGTGTAGGATAGAGAACTTAGTAGCCGAACTATGAAACTGAGATGAAATGTTATCCAAATCTCTATTCTAGATTCATTACTGTCACACCATCTTCTTGAGGTGTTCCAGGCGGGACTCCTTGTCCCTCGAATGGCCTCCAACACCGCCCCTTACAGCCATCCCAGACCACCGGCTACCAGCCATTATGACTGGCCGTCTTTCATTGACAATTTCGTGTATATTCGTAACAATGTAAAACACTCACCGATATGGCCTCTATTATTCATTCTAGGGTGTCTTACCAGATGATGTCCTCTTTTTGCACTACTTCCCCTCCTTTTCGTAATTCTCACAACACATATTCTCCTCTTAGCATATTCTGCCTCGCCATACTTTTTCTCTCTCTTTTTTCTCGCTTCTCTCATTCTCTCGCCGTCCCTTTCCCTCCTCGCCACGTTCCGTTTTTTGTAGCATATAGCGTATTGCGTTCGCGACATCCGCAGTACAAAATTTTCTCCCATGCCCATATTCCAGGCACTTTGTGCATTGCACCAACGGGGATTGGTCCTCCACCCGAACCCTTTGTAAGTCAATGTGGAGATGCCCGGCCCCGGTCATCCTTTGCCAAAGCGCCGGTTTGACTTGTAGGGCTATGTTTTTTTTTATTATTATTTTTTATGGGATAGGGGGCAGACGAGCAGACGGATCACCTCATGGTAAGTGATTACCGTCGCCCATGGACACCTGCAACAACAGAGGGGCTACAAGCGCGCTGCCGGCCTTGGAGGGAAGGGTTGAGGGGTAGAGGGAAGGGAATAGGGAGGAGTTGGGCCTCCGGTACCCTCACTCACACGACGAAACACAACTCAAGCGTTGCTTCACGTCGGTTTTATGTGAGGCCGTTTTTTGAATTTTATTTTGGTGATGGTGTCATCTTCTGGTAATTCTCCATATATTCTTTTGTTTTTTTCTTTTATTGCTATTAGTAAATCTTTATCTTCTATGTCATTAAATACGTCTTTGAGGATTACTAAGGGATCTTTGTTTTTAACTTTTTCAACTTTAAGTTCCTTTCCTTGTGTTAATTTTTCTTCTATTGCTTCTAATTGGTTTTTCTCTTCGCAACCGATTATTACCCTCGCATCCTTACATTTACGTATTCTGTCAACTCTTATTCCTTCTTGTTTTACGTTGATCCTCTTTTTGGCCTTCTGGATTACATCTTCGCTCATGTCATTCGGGTTTGTTGAGGAGACAATAATGGAGTGGAGAGTTTTTGTGACTCTGGTTTTCTATTCCCTTATCACCTCTGCGTATGTAAATTTTTTGGTGTGTTCTGCACTCAATCCACTATCGTTATTTGAATTTGGATGTTTCTATTTTGTTTATCTGATGTTTAATCTCCACTATTACCTCCTCTCTGGCATGAACGTTCAGATGTTTCTCGACCTCCTTTAGATGCTGCTTTAAGGACGTATAGTCGGTGCTTTCTTGATTGTCTCCCTATCCCTAATTTCTACTTTTTTTGTTAACTCATCCATGTGTTTTTCCATCTTTTCTTTAATTGTATTTTCGCTATCTTCTATTTTCTCTCCTATTCGTCTTCCTATATCCATCACTTCAGCGGTTAGATTATTTTCGATACTTTCTAATTTTTTCATTATATTTGTGGGTTTTTCATTTTTATTCCAGTTATCCCCCCTTACTTCCATTCCTTTCTCTATTTCTTGAAGTCTATATTCTATATTTTGTAGGTGTTTTTCTTCAATTTTTTTATTTAGTTTTCTAATTTTATTGTTGTTTCCTTCCCAATTTTTCCTTAATTTCTTCTTCTCTTTTTAATTCTTGTAAGTCTCTTTCCATTATTCCATATCTAATCTCTTGCTGTCCTATATAGCTTCTTATTTCCTTTGCAGTGTTTTCCATTTTTTTGGTCTTTTCCTTTATTTTCCTAAGGGTAAGTATAATTTTTTCCTTTGTTTCCTTCCTTAAAGTTGCCTGTGACTCGAGAACTTCGAGGGCCTTAGACAGTTTGTTCGTTATACTCGATAGATCCTCCCAGAATCTGTCCATGTCCGGTTCCCACTGTTGCGGTTTTACTTCGGATTTTCTAGGTGATATTTTGGGACTGTTTCCCATATTGGTCCTTGGTGAGGGGGTGGGGGCTATGCTCTGATTTCCGGACATCCTTTGTGTATTTTGAGGTGATCTAATCATTGTTATTTTCAGATGTCGATAAATTGCCTGTAATATTGGTCTACGTGGGGTGTGTTTATTATATGGTAAATGTTTTTAAGTGAGCATTTGATTGTTTTTATTCTATGTTATGTGTTGTGTCTGTTTGTTTGTGTTGTGTTTTGTGTATCCTAATGTTTTTTTTACTACAGGTTCCGTCGTCCTGTTGGCAGATCCACTGCAGGTCTACTTCTCGGCGTGTTGGTGAGTGTTTTTTATTTTTTTGTTGTACGTGTACTTGTTTATTTTGTGTTTTGTGTTGTGGTTTTTAAGCGCGTATATATTTGTCAATAATATAGAGCTCTGCTCTGGTTAACTAATCTAAGACACGTCCCAATAGGATACGTTGTCAATAAAGTTAAAAGGGGGTCAAATAAAAACTTTATTTCAGGTAAGAACAGGGTAAAATAAAATCACTATTTTGTGGGAAAATTATATATTTTCCGGTCTTGAAATTTTGTCTTGTTTGTCCTTTTTATTTGCCTTTGATATTTTTTTGGGAATTTTGGAGAAAAATTTCCAAAGTTGCAAGTTTTTCCCTGTTTTTCCGGGATTTTCTGAAAATTTTCGGTTTTTTAATATTGCGTTACTACGCCCTCCTGTAGAGCCCCAGAAGCCCTATCGTTTAACACCTCCCTCACTCGCCTTTCTGCAATGGATAGTTCCGGAGATATCTCTCGGCCAAAATCGGGAAAAAACTCGGCCCAAAAGAGACGAGTGCCGATATCTCCGAAACTATGGACCGCGTGGAACTGGGACTTTTTGTTGTTTGGAAGAGGAGATCCTGCCGCCTCTATTTCCGGGTTCAGATGAATTTGCCCCGGGAATTTGAGCTAGGGCAAATTTGCCCTGTGGGTCAGATAGAGCTCGGCAGGAGGTTATGGGAGTGGAAAACTCTGTTCCTCTACGGCGAAAGACGTAGAAGCTACAGCCCTTCAAAGTTTTTCAAAATAGCGGACCAAGATGGCTGCCGAAATTTTGGAGGGCTATATCTCCGGTCCTACTCGTTGCACGAGGTTGGGGTTTGGAGTGGAGATGGTAGGTGGGTGAGGTCTCGCCGATGCGATCTCGAAAATTGGGGGTTGAGTTCAACCCCTCAAATTCAAACCTCACCCTGCGAAATGTGTGGAGGGGATTCTGGGAAGGATTTGATCCGAAATCCCGCCCAATATTGACCGAGATCTAGGGATTCCAAAATTTCCAAAATGGCCGATCCAATATGGCCGACCAATATTTGGAAATTTATATCTCGGCCAGTACGAGTCGTAGAGACGTGGGGATTTCGATGAGGGGTTGGGGAGGGGAAGACCTATGGGAATCCCGTTCCAAAAAAGGGTTTTGAAAAATTTTGTGCCAAAAATTTTAGAAAATTTTAAATTTAAAGTTTTTAAATTTCTTGCCCTGAAGGGGCCTAGAGAAGTTTATGCTGATTACTAAACTGAAAACCGAATTTAAAAATTTTGAATAGCCAATGAATTACAGCGAGGCAAAGTCAACAGCTATATATAGTCAACAGCTTATGCGTAATAATGCCTTTTTGTTCATCTTGTAATACGACAGTAGACACTAGGTGTTGGGTAGGGCACTTACGAAGTAACAAGCACAAAAACAATGATAGTTCACCTTATTGCGATGGGGTACAATTAATAAAGTCGGCATTTCGTGGTCGCATTGCTGCTTATAGAATAGGAGCCCGTGAAGGCAAGGAACTTTATTCTATAAATTCATTCTTTGATATTCTTCGTTCTATAGTTAAAGTCCTTTTAGATGAATCGTTGCAAATTCATACCTGTCTTAAAGTCAACTTTGAACTATATTCCATGTTTTTATTAATAAAAGACGAGAGAGAGGAACTTAAATCATTTGCAATGAAAAATTTTTCAATCCATTTAAATTATAATTTTAATGATCTTTATTTAAATATAAGAAACTCTCTGGTTAAGAATACAGAAGAATTTCAATGTAGAGATAGTTGTTGGACATTTTTACATAATTCTCATTTTGAAATAAACATAAACAAATTTCAGCCACTGAGCGGATCAACTTTTATAGACTTACCAAAGTTTATAAAAAATAAAAAAGCCTGTCTCAATATTCACAACAAAGACAAACATTGTTTCTTATGGTGTGTTACCGCGGCTTTGTATCAAACAAATAAACACCCTGAGCGTGTAGCCTCTTATCCACATTATAGACATGTACGTAATATTAATGACATGTCTTTTCCAGTAAATTTCTCAGATATCAATATTTTTGAGAGAAATAATCCTTGTGTCAGTATTAACGTCTATGGTTTAAAAAATAATAAGTTTGTTACAGGTCCATTGTATAAATCTGAAAATAAAAGTGGTATGCGCATTTATAATTTCCTTATAGAGGTTGGCAACCTGTCTCATTACTGTTTAATTAAAAATCTGGAACGTCTCGTTAGAATTCAAATTACTAAATATCACGGCTCTTTGTTTTTTTGCGACAACTGTTTAATATTTTTTCCATCAACAGATAAGCTTAATAATCATGTTTGCGGGGGAGTTGTTACTGTTTTACCTGAAAAAGGTTCTGTTTTACATTTTAAAAATTTCGATCGCAAGCAAAATATACCCTTTGTAATTTACGCTGATTTCGAAACTATGTTACAGCCAGTATCGGGGTGTGAACCAAATCCAAACTTTGCGGGTACTACCGACTTACAGCGACACATACCAATTGCATTCGCATATAATGTTGTCTGTTCCTTTGACGACTCGAAAAATCAATTTATTTCATATCGTGGTCATGACTGTGTTACAAAGTTCGTTAAATTAGTTCATATTCAAGCAAAAAAATTCTATGATATTTTATGTTCTACCAAACCGATGATTTTTACCGAATAAGACAGGGAGAACTTTAACAAAGCCTCAAGCTGTCACATTTGTAACCATCTACTGTGGAGCGATAAAGTACGCGATCACTGTCATGTTACCGGTCTGTATCGCGGAGCGGCTCATCAAATTTGTAATATGCGTAACAAAACTTCTCAATTTATTCCTATATTTTTTCATAATTTATCTGGCTATGACTGTCACCTTTTCATAAAAAAGTTAGGTGAAATGCCTGGCAAGGTAAAAGTTATAGCGAAAACTAAAGAAAACTATATATCGTTTACCAAGTTTTTATCAATGTCTAATGGCGAATTTATACAATTACCTTTCACAGTTTCAATTAAGTATTTGGGTACGAGTTTAGATAAACTAGCCAAAACTATGAAAAAAGATGATTTTCACTGTTTACGTTCTCATTTCCCAAACATTAAGCAATTTGATTTGTTAACTAGAAAAGGAGTGTACCCTTACGATTATATGAATAATTTAGATTGATACTCAGAAAAGTCATTACCTTCTAAATCATGCTTTTTTAATTCCCTTACTAATGAACATATTTCTGAAGATGAGTATAAACACGCTGAAGCTGTTTGGTCAATTTTCAAAATAAGAGATTTAGGCGCTTATACTGATTTATACTTAAAAACAGACGTACTTTTACTAACGGATATATTTGAAAAGTTTCGCAGAACATGTAAATGTCATTACGACCTCGATCCTGCCTTTTATGTTACTGCGCCCACTCTATCATTCGATGCAATGCTTTTGAAAACAGGTATTCAACTTCAGCTCCTCGATGATTTATCAATGATCCGTATGATACAACAGCGAATAAGAGGGGAATGTGTATGTGTTCCCACCGTTATGGTAAGGCAAATAACTAATACATGCTTGACTATGATCCCTCTGAAGAAGACTCTTTTATAGTTTATTTACACTGTAATAATTTATATGGTTACAGTATGAGTCTATCGCTACCTTACTCTAACTTTAGATTTTTAAATAATAATGAAATAGAGGAGTTAAACGTTTTATCTATAGATGATAACGCAGAAAACGGATATATTCTTGAAGTGGACTTGCTTTATCCTGAACACTTGCATCATTATCATAATAATTTACCATTCTGTCCTGAA